CATGAGTGAAGATGGACATAAGGACGTTTTTTAGACCAAAAGTACGGCGACAGAACCCCAGCTTTGATGAGACTGGTGCTGACTCAGGTTTGTGAGTCTTATTTGCAAATATTTGTTGTGCTGCTGGTTTGCCTAAAGCTAGCTTACTATCAGGTAAAGTTGTTGGAGAAAGAAAGGGAATATTTACTATCATCTCACACTAAACACTAACAGGAACTATACTCTGCCCTGAATATGCTTAATATGTAGCTTCAGATTAAAAATTATGTGGTACAAGACATATATGATGTTGACTAGTGCGTGTCACGTGTGTGTGCGCGAGCGTGTGTTAAGCCTCGGATCTTCTTCAGTCCTAAATCCGCCCCTGCAGTGCAGAGACATCAGAACAGGAGTGATGTGTGCTCTTCTGTTTGCTCCAGTCAGGAGCCTTGCTGCAGTTCTGGACCAACTGAAGGAGGTCAGGTTTTTTTTTGTTAAAACATGTGAAGAGTGTGTTACAGTGATCTAGTCAGGAGGAGATGAAGGCATGGAGAACCATTTCAAGTTCATGTTTGACACCAACCTTCACAGTTTGGAGATATTTCAGCCTACAAAACATCCTTAACACCTTGGCTCCATTAAAAACCCATACTGTCTGTTTTTCCACCTCTGCCCCTAGTTCACATCTAACCTCAGAACATTAAAAGCTGAAGGACGCCAGCTGGAGCGCCTCTACAAGAGAACGGGCCTCTCTATACACAAAGACCTGTACATCGCCCACCTAGCCCGTTATAAGGGTTCTATTTCTCACACCAAATCAGATTACTACTCCAGTATCATCAACTATAACAACGGAAACCCCAAAACTCTTTTCTCAGTCCTCCATAAAATTTTCAATTCTCCCTCTATACTACCCCCTCACTTCTACTCCACTGACACCTGTAATAGCATCCTTTCCTTTTTTAACCATAAAATCACCCAAATCCACCAGAGTCTTAGCCCGGCTGACCCCCACATACTTCCCCCTGACAATCTCGCGTTCTTTGAATCCTTCTCAGACTTCTCAGTTCCTGATGCCTCTTATATCTCGGATTTAATATGCAAATCCAAGCCCACCACCTGTCAGCTTGACCCACTCCCATCTTCCCTGGTTAAATCCTGCCTCTCATCCCTGTTACCCTTCATTTGCTCCATCATCCATGCTTCTCTCCGGACTGGAATCGTTCCCTCAGCCTTCAAAACTGCAGCGCTAACCCCATTTCTCAAAAAGCCCGGCTCAGACCCAAACAATTTTAATAACCTTCGCCCCATCTCCAACTTACCATTTATCTCTAAGATACTTGAAAAAGTTGTTGCTAACCAACTACACTCTCATCTATCCAGCAACTCCCTCTACGAAGTCTTCCAGTCTGGTTTCCGCCCCCACCATAGCACAGAAACGGCTCTGATCAAAATCACAAACGACCTCCTTCTTGCAGCAGACTCAGGCCAGATTTCCATCCTCATCCTACTCGATCTCAGTGCAGCATTTGACACCATCTCACACACAGTTCTACTCCATAGACTATCCACCATCGGCATTTCAAAAACTCCTCTAAATTGGTTCAAATCTTATCTATCTAATCGCACTCAATTTGTCCAACTGCGCACCTTCCACTCTAACCCCAAGCCAGTTACCTCTGGAGTTCCTCAGGGCTCAGTCTTAGGTCCCCTTCTTTTCATAATCTACTTACTCCCACTTGGCAATATCTTCAGGAAATTTAATATTCCTTTTCACTGCTACGCCGATGACACCCAGCTCTACTTCTCTACCCAACCAAAACCCCCGCTCCCTTCATCCTCCCTTCTCAGTTGCCTCACCGAAGTCAAATCCTGGTTTTCTTCTAACTTTCTACAGCTCAACAGTAATAAGACTGAGATCCTCCTCACTGGCACCAAGTCATCTCTATCCAAGACCAGCTCATTCTCACTCAGCTTCGACAACACCACACTTCTCCCCACCGCCAAAGCTAAGAGCTTGGGTGTCATCTTAGACAACACCTTATCTTTCATTCCTCATATTAACAACACAATAAAAACTGCTTATTTTCATCTTCGCAATATCAATCGGCTCCGCCCCTCCCTCAGTCAGCACTCCACTGATATTTTGGTCCACAGCCTGGTCACCAGTCGCATTGATTACTGTAATGCCCTCCTCTCTGGTCTCCCTTTAAAATCACTCAACAAGTTACAGTTAGTCCAAAATTCAGCTGCCCGGATAATCACCAAGACCTCCACTTTTGATCACATCACCCCTGTCCTGCAACAACTTCACTGGCTCCCTGTCAAATACAGAATTGACTACAAGATACTTCTTCATGCCTTTAAAGCCATCCATAATCTCGCTCCCCCATATCTTTCTGATCTCCTCCACATTTTCACTCCCACTCGCTCTCTCCGATCATCATCTTCACCTTCCCTGTCTGTTCCTCGCACTCGTCTTAGTACTATGGGAGCCAGAGCTTTCAGCCACTCAGCTCCGAAACTCTGGAACACTCTACCGCCCGACCGCCGCAATATAAACTCCTTCTCAACCTTCAAGTCTCACCTCAAAACTCACATGTTCCACCTGGCTTACTCACTGTAACTGTCCTCCTTCCATCTACTCTTTTTAGTCTATTATCCATCACACTGCTCCGACTCTACCTTTGGGAATTACTTTTAGCATTTATTTCTTGTTATTGTATTTCTTGCTTGTTATATTTTGTCCTGTACAGTGACCTTGAGAGTTTTGAAAGGCGCTTGAAATAAAATGTATTATTATTATTTCTTAAGTGATAAAAACAGTTTTGGATAAACCAGCGTTTATGAGTGCCTAGGGGGAACATGAGGGAAACCTGGAGGGGGCTGGGGACCACAGGCACACCGCATCGAAGTAATCAGCCTGTGGAACTGCTGAGGTGTTATGGAGGCCCAGGATGCTTCAATAGCGGCCTTAAGCTCATCCAGAGTGTTGGGTCTTGCGTCTCTCAACTTTCTCTCCACAATATCCCACAGGTTCTCTACGGGGTTCAGGTCAGGAGAGTTGGCAGGCCAGTTGAGCACAGTAATACCATGGTCAGTAAACCATTTAGCAGTGGTTTTGGCACTGTGAGCAGGCGCCAGGTCGTGCTGAAAAATGAAATCTTCATCTCCATAAAGCTTTTCAGCAGATGGAAGCATGAAGTGCTCCAAAATCTCCTGATAGCTAGCTGCAGTGACCCTACCCTTGATAAAACACAGTGGACCAACACCAGCAGCAGACATGGCACCCCAGACCATCACTGACTGTGGGTACTTGACACTGGACTTCAGGCATGTTGGCATTTCCCTCTGCCCAGTCTTCCTCCAGACTCTGGCACCTTGATTTCTGAATGACGTGCAGAATTTGCTTTCATCTGTAAAAAGTACTTTGGACCACTGAGCAACAGTCCAGTGCTGCTTCTCTGTAGCCCAGGTCAGGCGCTTCTGCCGCTGTTTCTGGTTCAAAAGTGGCTTGACCTGGGGAATGCAGCACCTGTAGCCCATTTCCTGCACACGCCTGTACACTCAAGATGGCTGCCGAGTAGGTGTGGTGAGATTGCTGAGCTTTCCTAATATATGAATATCAGCAAAAGAAGACAACATCCACCTTTTCTAAGCTTGCTTTTTTGTGGCTTAAGTAATTAGAAACCTTTGGCTTAAACAATTTTTGAGCTAGATGAAGTATTGAACATTTATTCGATACATGAAGTGTTGGACATATTTTTTCGGCACATGTTCCAACCAGCTGGGAATCTGACAACGCCATGAAGTTAACCATCCAAGGAAACTGTTTGGAACAACGATGTCTATGGAGAATCTGGTCCAAGATATGGAGGAGATAAAAAAGTCCTTGAATTTCATGTCACATGAGATAACTTAAGTGGCAAAACAGCAGAGCGGCCTACAGGAGGTATTGAAAGAAGTCAAGCAACTTAAGGCTGTAATACAAGAAAAGGACAAAAAAATTGAGCTGCTTGAACGGAGGGTTGACGAGTTGGAGCAACATTCAAGGTTGGATGATCTCTTGGTATCAGGACTGGAAATACACCGTACCTATGCACAGGCCGCAGCCTGTGACAGGGGAAAAGACATTGAAATCACTGCTACTCATTCTCCAGGTTCTCCTTAACTTGAGGATCAGGTGATCAAATTTTTCAACAGCAAAGATATTGCAATATCCAGTAAAGACATTGTGGCTTGTCACTCATTGGCTCAAAAACATAGTAAAACATCAACCATTGTGATCAGGCTTGCCAGTAGAAAATGTAAAATGGAGGTGCTGAGGAATGCAAAAAAATTAAAGGGTAAAGGTGTATATGTAAATGAGCATCTTACGAAAAGAAACTCAGAAACCGCAAGGCAAGCAAGGATCTTGAGAAAAGAAAAGAAGATTCATGACACGGACAAGAAACTGCAAAGTACTGATAAAGCTAAATGGTCCCCCGGAGCAGGCAAAAGTGATGGTCATCAAAGATATTAAAGAACTTGATCAATACAAATGACATACGTCTGCTGTGGATCACCAAGGATGAACAAGAGGAAGACAACCAACTTCACGCATGGATGATACAACAAGAAGATATACGAAGAATCTGGATTATTCAACTCTCAATACAGTAAGAACAGAGACTGGTAATTCAAGTTATGAAAATTTACAATTGCAAAGGTTTGACTACACAGAATATAAACCACAGGATATGCAGGATGGCATTGACCCAGATAACAATTTTTACACTAGAGTAGATAATCATTGTGAATACTATACTGAAGACCAGTTTGAACATAATGTCACTATAAAAGGTAAATTATCTGTTATACATTTCAACTGTAGAAGTCTAAATTCAAATTTTGTGAAGATTATGCAATGTTTGAAGCAATCAAATCATCCATTTACTGTAATAGCAATCTCTGAGACATGGCTCCAGGAAGAGAGGACATCTATGTTTCAAATTGAAGGATATAATATGTTTTCCACAAGTAGAGATTGCAAAAAAGGTGGGGGAGTGGCTTTGTATATTGATAAAACCTTTCCAAGTAGATTGGTGGGTGATATGACATTAGTTATGGATAACATTATGGAGTGTGTATTTGTGGAAATACAAATAGAAAAGTCTAAGAATGTGTTAGTCAGTTGTATGTATAGGAAACCAGGATCTTGTGTTGAAATGTTTAAAGAAAAAATAGTTGATATGTATGATGATATAATCAACAGAAAAATGTGTTTTGTCTGTGGGGATTTTAACATTGACCTGTTGAATCCTCAAATGCAAAATGCAAATACAGAGTTTATTAATTCCATGTTTAGTCTGGGACTGTATCCACTAATAACTCGGCCAACTCGAATTACGAGAACTAGTGTGACACTGATCGACAATATTTTTACAAATATTCTTGAATATGATGTGTTAAGTGGTCTTATAATTACCGATATGTCTGATCATTTACCGGTTTTCACAATTGTACAAAGGACAACTGTAACTACTCAAAGTGAATCTGTGGTTGTTACAAGGCTAAAAAATCAAGAAGCAGTAAATTCATTTAAAACTGACTTAATGGAAAAAAATTGGGAGGAGGTTTATGTGGAAGATGTAAATATGGCTTATGGAACATTTTTAAATATTGTAACTTCTCTTTATGAAAAAAAACTGCCCATTGCTTTATAAGGTGGATAAGAATAAATATGCTAAAAAGCCATGGATAACTACGGGGATTCAGAAGGCTTGCAGAAAAAAAATAAGCTGTATAAAGACTTTCGCTCCCTCCGGTTAATAGACGACACCACGGTTCTTCATTCACTGATGGATTTATTCCTCCTTCACACTTCTCCTCCAAGACACTATTAATCCACCGTCAAACTGTCATTACACCAAAGTACAGAATAACCAAACATAAATATTACAAATAAGCATTAACCCAAGTTCACAGATACTCAATAAATAAACACAGTTAACGTACCTCGCTGGCTGCACGTAACCATAAGGGAGTGAATCCGCTTCAGGAACAAAACTTAACAAAGGTAATTCGCTGGTTTCTTCTTCGTCTTCTCTACAGCTTTCCCTTACTTTAAACTGCTTATTTATTCATTCCTGTGACTGCGTAGGTTATAGCTCAGCTTCTTTTCACATGCTCTTTTACTTCCCTTTCTGTCACCCAAAATGGGCCGTGCGCAACACAGCATGAAACTTAGTTCCTACCCCAAAGAAACAACAATAGACCAGGGAAATAAGATACATACATAACACAATAAATCAAACAAATTGACATAATTTACATTGTGGCAGTTAAACTCCCACCAAATCTCAACTTGAGATTTCCCTGTAGATTTGAACCTTCAAGTGATAAGCATTTACAACAGTTTAACACATGCTTATTCAGCTTCAACCAGTAGAACTATTTTTTGCACCGGCCTTTCAAGATAAACTGGCCTAGTTGAACGTTTTCCCCGTTCATCCAAAGTTGAGTCGCTAACCAACAGCTTCACCTTTCTGACCCTTCCGTCAGCGCTGGGGTACACCTCTGTGACTCTTGCTAGTCTCCAGTGATTTCGTGGAGCACTGTCCTCTTGAAGAATAACAATGTCATTGACCTTGATGTTTTTCTTATCCCCATGCCATATCTGTCTTTGCTGGAGATTAAGAAGGTACTCCCTCCTCCACCTTGTCCAAAACTCATTCGCCAAGAACTGCACCTGCCGCCATCTCTTATGCAGGTATAAATCTTGACTTACAAACTGACCTGGAGGTGGCTATATGATGTTAGACTTCATCAGCAGAATGTGATTTGGTGTGAGCGGTTCAAGACTTGTTGGATCATTCAGGTGCTCTGTTGTCAGGGGTCTGCTATTTATTATAGCCATCACTTCATACAAAAATGTCCTAAGTGAGGCAGTGTCAAGTCTTTTAGCAGACTGATCAAGGATTGCTGTTAGGACACTTCTGACTGTCCTTATTTGCCTCTCCCAAATTCCTCCCATATGGCTTGACGATGGGGAATTCATTACAAACTCACAGCCATATTCCTTCACCTGCTCATGATCCCAGTTCTTCATTGAGTCCATGAACTCTCTCTTTGCGCCCACAAATTTGGTACCTTGATCACATCTCAACTGCCTAACATTCCCACGTATTGCAATGAATACGCGCAATGCATTGATGAAAGCATCCGAACTGAGGTCATCAAGCATCTCGATATGTACAGCTCTGCAACACATACAAGTGAAGAGAAGGCCATACTTCTTCAGTTCCTTTCTTGCATCCTTCACATAGAATGGTCCGAAGCAATCCATGCCACAATATGTGAATGGCGGGGTTATTTCCACTCTGTCCTTTGGCAAATCTGCCATTTTTGGGTCGTGCTTGTTCCTTCTATACTTTCTGCATGTGACGCACTTAAAGATGTGTGAGGCAACTGCACCACTGCATCCAACGACCCATATCCCATTAGATCGCAACTCATTTACAGTCATACCTCTTCCTTGATGCTGCACCTTCTCATGATAATGCTTAATCAATAAAGAAGACACATGGCTTGTTTTTGGCAGAATAGCAGGATGCTTAACGTGCGGATGAAGATCACTTCTTGTCAAGCGGCCGCCTACTCTAAGCACACCCTGCTCATCCAAAAATGGACTTAAATTACATAGCTTGTTTGCTTTGTCTTTCGATTTTACATCCTTGCATTGTTGCAAATTCTTGATTTCACTGCTGAATACTTCTCTTTGGACCAATATGATTAAGAAAAGTTCAGCTTGTTGTCTTTCCTCAACACTTGTACTTCCACTGAGTTTGGGGCTAAGACCCTTAACTTGCTTAGCATGACGTTTAAGACAAGCAATAGCCTTCACAACTCTTTTCCAGTCAGAAAACTTGGTCAAGCGATCCACCAATGTTCTATTTGTCCTTGCACTGGTGATGAGTACTTGAGCCCTTTGAAGTTCTGGATCAGTATCACTAACTTCTCCCACCTTGGCATCCTTTGTTGGTAGTTCCCTTTCCCACAGAAAGTCTGGGCCAGTGAACCAATTTGAAGCAACGAGCCGATCTGCCGATAACCCTCTCGAAGCATGGTCCGCCGGATTGTCTTCAGACTGCACATGATACCATTGGTTGACATCTGTGGTGGCTTTGATTCTCTGGATCCTATTTGCCACGAAAACATGGAAGCGTCTGGCATCATTCTTAATATACCCGAGAACAACCTTAGAATCTGTCCAATAATATTCCTTAAGGTTGTCTATTTCAAGCTCATGGTTTAACATAGCACCTATCTTCGCAGCAACCACTGCTGCAGACAGCTCAAGCCTTGGAATCGTTGTGACCTTAGTGGGGGCAACACGCGCTTTCCCCATGACAAGTGAGCAGTGTACACTGCCATTAGAGTTCACTGCTCTTAGATAAGTGCACTCCCCATAACCTGTGAAGCTAGCATCTGAGAAGTGATGTAGCTCGTACTGCTTGACATCTATGAAGCTTGCTGGTATGTAGCACCTCTTAATTTTTACTTGACACAAGTTATGGAGATCTTGTAACCATGACTGCCACTGTGATCTGCACTCCTCTGAAAGTGGTTCATCCCAACTAACTTTCTCTCGACTCAACTGTTGCAAGATCAACTTACCACGCAAAACAAACGGTGCTACAAAACCCAGAGGATCGTAGATGGAAGCTACTGTGGATAGCACTCCCCTTCTCGTCATCGGGTGTTTCTTGACAGTTACTCTGAACTGCAAGTCATCAGAGGATACGCACCATTGCACGCCCAGTGCTCTTTCTAGGAGTGGCTCCCCTAAATCTATGTCCAGCTCTTTGACACTGTCAGCACATTCTTCCCTTGGTATTGGGTCCAATACCTTCTTGCTGTTGGAAATGAACTTGTGCAGTCTAAGCTTGCCTGCACTGCAAAGCTCTCTAGCTTCCTTGATCAGTTCAATTGCCTCCGCATCAGACCCTACACTCACCAGTCCATCATCAACATAAAAATTTCTTCGGATGAACCTGACAGTGCTTTCGTTAAATCGATCCTGACCTTCTGTGGCTAGATGTTTAAGTCCAAAATTGGCACAGCCAGGTGAAGAAGCTGCTCCAAACAAATGGACTTTCATCCGAAAAACTGATGGTGGAGCCTCGAGATTATCATTCTCCCACCATAAGAACCTCAAGTAGTCTTGGTCTTCAGGCTTTACATGGAATTGATGGAACATTCTTTCCACATCACACATAATAGCGACTGGGCCCTTTCGAAATCTACAAAGAACTCCCACCAAGGTGTTTGTGAGCTCAGGACCTGTAAGAAAGTAGTCATTCAATGACATGTCTTGAAATCTTGCCGAGCAATCAAAGACCACTCGCAGTTTCTCTGGTTTTTTAGGGTGGTATACGCCATGGTGAGGAATATACCAAGCTGACTGTCTATCAAGCTCCTCTTCTGGGATCCTTTCTGCTTCACCACGACTGATAATGTCCTTCATGAAGTTCATGTAATCTGCTTGATATTTCTGGTCTCTCTTGAGCCTCTTCTCCAAGCACTTAAGGCGTTGGACAGCACATGGTTTGTTATTTGGTAACTCTGGCCTGCTCTGTTTGAAAGGCAGAGGCATTTCAAGATGTCCATCTTCTTTGTGTCTAATTTCTTCTTTCATTTTGGTCAAAAACTGGAGATCTTCTTGCGAAAGATTTGCCTCTTCTCCAAGTCTTTCACTGAAGTCCGATTCCAGCACCTTAAGTACATCTTCTGGAGCAGTCAGTTCTTTAATTCTTGTTTTGAAGACATAATGAACGTTGCTCTTCAGATTACTTGTTACTTTGGGTTCAGGAATCACTTGCCTTACAATGATGCGGTGACTTACTCCAATCGCATCACTGTAGTTTTCACTTGGATCACCATAGCTTACTATGCTCCAGCCTACGTCAGTTTTCTGTGCAAAGGGCTGGTTGTCCTCACCACATACAACTTCTCTTGGCATCAGTGCTTGTGGACAGTTATACCCAATAAGAAGACCGATTTCACAGTTCTTCGGTGGGGCAATGTGTTCTGCAAGATGCTCTAAATGAGGCCATGCCCTTGCTGTCTCAGATGTTGGAATGTGTGTGCGATTGGCAGGTATGAATTCACGAGTGTAGACCGTTGGCACTGTGATCTTCTTAGAAGAAGATAACCCTCTTATTTGTAAACCTTTGATTCTTTTGCATGGTACAATTGTTTCCTTGGACGACATTGTGGACAGCTTCAACTTGACTGGCTCTGCATTAACATCAAGAGCATCCACTACTTCTTCAAGAATGAATGAAGAGTCACTTTGTGAATCTAACAGAGCATAGACAAGGACCTCTTTATTTGAATTACCAGGCATTGACGCGTAAACAGGAACTATTGCTGAAGTCTGAGCACTGTTACCATCATGTACAACTCTATTGGATGTGGTTTCTTGAATGGTGTCTTGCAGCGATTGTAGCGTTCTTTCCTTAATGCAACTCGTCCCATCATTTTCTTGTTGTTTTGAGCGATCCTCATGTAAGCATGTGGGGTGACGCTTAGAGCAGGTGTCACAGACCATCCGGTTGCTGCAATTCTTGGATTGATGGCCAGGACTCAAACAGCCGAAACACAGTTTCTCACCTTGAATGAACTTCACTCGGTCAGCAACTGGCCTTGCAGTTAGTCTACGACACTTGTGCAGGACATGTCCTGTTTTCTTACAGAACATACATGTGCTTATGTTCTCCTCAGTGGTGTTAGTGGTAAAAATCCTTGCACTTGCTGCTTGGCTCTTAGGGGTCACTACATTCTGCGGTTTAGATCTTGTCCTTTCCTGCTCCCCTTGCCGCAAAGCATAGTAAGATGTAACAGGGTTACAAGCAATACTAGCCTCCAAGGTCAGGAAGGTTACGAAATACTTGAAATCTGGGAACCTCCCATGCTCCAGCTGATACTGTGTGGCTTTTCGGTTCCATCTGCTGCTTAACCAATCAGGCAACTTGGCTGTCAGCCTTTGATTTTCGACGTCATCATCAAGAATACGCAGACACTCATTGTGAGTCATGGCACATTCACAACTGCGTAAAAAATCCACAAATTTCCTTAAGTCAGCGCTCTCTCTTGACGCTATTTTTGGCCAGGCATGTAATTTGTCTCGGCAGGCCTTTGCAATCATAAAAGGCTGGCCGTATCTCTCATTGAGCAGTCCCCATGCAGCTACATATGCAGTATCTGAACCAATCAGGAAATAACCTTCTAATGCCTCTCTAGCTGCTCCTCCAACATATTTCTGAAGAAAGAATATTTTCTCTGAACTTGAAATATTTTTCCTTTCAATAAGAGTTTGGAAGGATGATTTCCAATGATTAAACTTGAGTGGATCACCATTAAAAACTGTGGGCTCTGGAATGGGTAGCCTATTTGCTGATATAGCCTCAGCTAAGACTTTCACAAGCTCTCCTGTGCTGTCTTGAACCACATGTGTTGGCACTGCATCCTTTGGTGATTGTGAGTGCCAGTTGTCAGATTTCATTTGGTTGCGTGGCTGCATAACCTCATGTAGATCTAGGCTCTGTGGAGCATTCCTTTGTGCTGGGCTGAGCTCATTCTCATCATACACTTGAAGCCTTGCTTTGGCTGCATTCATCCTTTTCAAATTTTCTAAACGATCAAGCTCTCTCTTTAGGTTCTCAACAGACCTCTTTCTTGCAGCATTCTCTTCTTGCTGTTTCTTTAAGAGAGCGGCCTCTTGTTTCTCTCTTTCTAGCCTGCGTTCGTTTTCTTCTCTTTCTCCTTCAAGACGACGAGCTAATGCGGCTGCTTCTTGGTCTGCGATGTTCAACCTCTCTTCAGCTTCAAGCTTTTGCAGCTTCTCTTGGTGGTCCTCTTGTTCAGTCATAATCTGCAGTACAGCCCGTGTAGCTGCATACTCGGCAGCAGCTTCTTGTCTTCTAAGTGAAGATACATTTGAGTGAATAGAAGATGCTTTAGAACCATTAGAGGCAGAAAGTGAAACACTGGAAGTTGAAGATGCGAATACAGAACTGTGATCTGGCCAAATCAACTCCTCAGCTGTACCCTGTATTTCAAATTAAGCATTTTGTAATACAGTCTTGGTGATCGAGATGCAGTTATCCATCTTGCGACGCATGTCATGGGATGGTTGATCAATTTTTCGGTAGTCATCATAAGCAATGTTCAATTCAGATAATTCCCTTTGAATACCGATGATGTGTTCTTGTAGGATGTCACTAGGATCCTGTTTTAACACAGATCTTTTAGCTACTTTAATTAGAGCTTTCCATCGCTCATATTTGCTGTCAAAGCGAAGCACTAGCCCCTTGATTTGCTTTTTCTGTAACTCCTTTCCCTTTTCTGTTAATGTCCGGGCTCTTTCACTTCTAGGAGGCACTTCAGGTGGTGCTATATTTTGCCCGATATTTGATTCATCTGTCTGCTCTAACTCGGTCTCTTCTTCCAGAGCAGCTGCTGCACCCTGAGCTTCTTTACTTGTATGTGACATTTTGATTATTTGTACACAGGCAACATACAAGAGCAAGCTGCAACACTATTTGTCAATGCTAAATAAGGGGCTTAACTAACTAAAGTCACTCTCCATGTAGAATATTACAGAGTAAGTGCACTTAACAGAGTTCTTCTTATAACCTGTCACACACCGAACTTGTAAAGACACTGAACCGTAAATACAAGCTGTGGATGTTTACCAAATGTACAAGGTGTACTTCTGCTCCTTAAGAGCCAACTATTATTATTCAACTGAACATGAACTTACATCTCTTACTTAAGTGCACATTCATATACGTGAAACACCGTGGCTGCCAGGTTATACACAGTCCCTCTTAGTTTTCAACTCTTGTGTCACTTTTCTGACCAAAACTTTAGAGTCTGACTTATAGACTTCTTCATGAAAACCTTATGAACCTGTGTGGCCTAAACAGTGGCTTATCTGTGTTCCCGTCTTGATGAGCTGCCGAACTTGCGCTGATAGGGCATGTTTGGGCCTCGAGTTTGACTTTCGCTCCCTCCGGTTAATAGACGACACCACGGTTCTTCATTCACTGATGGATTTATTCCTCCTTCACACTTCTCCTCCAAGACACTATTAATCCACCGTCAAACTGTCATTACACCAAAGTACAGAATAACCAAACATAAATATTACAAATAAGCATTAACCCAAGTTCACAGATACTCAATAAATAAACACAGTTAACGTACCTCGCTGGCTGCACGTAACCATAAGGGAGTGAATCCGCTTCAGGAACAAAACTTAACAAAGGTAATTCGCTGGTTTCTTCTTCGTCTTCTCTACAGCTTTCCCTTACTTTAAACTGCTTATTTATTCATTCCTGTGACTGCGTAGGTTATAGCTCAGCTTCTTTTCACATGCTCTTTTACTTCCCTTTCTGTCACCCAAAATGGGCCGTGCGCAACACAGCATGAAACTTAGTTCCTACCCCAAAGAAACAACAATAGACCAGGGAAATAAGATACATACATAACACAATAAATCAAACAAATTGACATAATTTACATTGTGGCAGTTAAAAAGACTTTTTAAAGAAAAGAACGGAGGAAGCAGAACAGAATTACAAGATATACAAGAATAAATTAATAAGTATTATGAGATCTAGTAAAAGAAATTATTATAGCAAATTATTGGAAGGAAATAAATCTAACATTAAAAATACGTGGCGCATATTAAATGATGTAATAAAAAAGGGCAGTGGCACCAATAGTCTTCCAAATATTTTTCTAACAAAAGACAATCAAGAAATGTATCAGTCTAAAGAAATAGCAAATGAATTCAATAAGTATTTCACCGAAATTGGGCCAAATTTGGCAAAGGATATATCAAATACTAAATTAGATGCTGATGCTGTGAGTAAAATAACAAATTTAGACAAAACCATATTTATTCAAGGCACAAATGAAAATGAAGTTATAACAGTTGTTAAAACATTTAAAAGTAAAAAGTCAGCAGATTTACATGGATTTGATATGTCGGTTGTAAAAGAAATCATCGAGATTATAGCCAAACCACTTACACATATTTGTAACCAGTCTCTCCAATCAGGAAGATTTCCTGAAAGGATGAAGGTTGCAAAAGTCATTCCTATCTATAAGGCTGGAGGCAAACATGACTTTTCTAATTATAGACCAATTTCTATTTTATCTCAGTTCTCCAAAATACTAGAAACAATATTTCATAAAAGATTGTATGACTTTATTGAGCATCATGATATTCTTTCTGAACAGTAATATGGTTTTAGACGTGATCGGACAACTTCTCTGGCAATTGTTGATCTAGTGGAGAAAATATCTGATGCATTTGACAACAAACAATATGCTGTTGGGGTCTTCTTAGACCTGACCAAAGCTTTTGATACTGTTAATCATGACTTATTAATAAAAAAATTGTGTAGATATGGCATCAGGGGTGTGGCCTATGACTGGATTAAGAGTTATTTAGAGAACAGACTCCAATATGTCCACATTAACAACACTGATTCACAGCTACTGACAGTGACCAGCGGTATCCCACAGGGGTCAGTGTTGGGTCCCTTGTTGTTTATTCTTTATATTAATGACATATGTTTAGTTTCTAAAACATTGCATTTCATACTATTTGCAGATGATACTAATGTTCTAAGTTTTGGGAAAGATTGAATAACATTAATGGACAAGGTTGAGAAAGAATTAAATGCATTAAAGTGTTGGTTTAACTTAAATAAATTAACTTTAAATTTAAATAAAACAAAATTTATCATATTTACTAATAGAGCAATTACAGTGGATACACATCTCAAAATAATTAATACAGAAATTGAAAGAGCGAATGAAATAAAATTTCTTGGCATAACCATAGAAAAAGTTAAGTTGGAAACCGCATATTGACTCAATTAAAGCAAAGTTATCGAAATCATTGGCAGTTCTCTATAAAGTTAAAGAATTTTTAGATGAAAAAGCTTTATATCTTTTGTATTGTTCCTTATTTCTGCCTTATTTCATGTATTGTGTTCAAGTGTGGGGAAACACCTACGAAACCCACTTAAAGCCTTTGTTTATAATTCAGAAGAGAGTAATCCCACTTGTAAATAAAGCAGCTTGTAGAGAGCATACACATTTACTTTTTACTCGTTTAAAAGCGTTAAAGTTAAAAGAATTAGTTACATTAAGAACTGCACAATTTATGTATAAAGTATTCAGGATCTGTTCCAGATCAGAGAGAGTGTTTATGATCTCAGAGGGTATAACATGTTCAGAAAGCCTAAAGTAAGAACTAAAATGAAACAACTTTGTGTTTCTTGTGTTGGGATTGATGTGTGGAATAAATTAGACCAGGAGCAAAAAGATTGTTCAACAATGGTAAAGTTTAAGGGTTTGTTTAAATCAAATGTGATTAAATATTATGAATCAAGTCAATGAAAAAATGCATAAAACATTAAAGGTCATTTTTTTTTCATAAAGCTAGAATGGGGATTTGAATATATTCCCATACATTTCAAACATGATGTAAAAATTATGGAATCGGTTTGCTATTCTAAAATTTTGTTTAAGTTCAAAGGGTTTGGGGGGCTGGGCTTATAAGCTTCTGCTTCTGCCTGCACCCATTCTTAGTATTGTGTAAGTTGTGTGTTTGCTTGTAAACCTGCAAATGTTTCTTTGTTATATTATATTGTACTATTGATTTTAATTTCTCATTCTCATTAAACTTCTCACATTCTCACAACTTCTCATGTACACGGTGGCTCTGGATGTTTCTACTCCAGACTCAGTCCACTGCTTCCGCAGGTCCCCCAAGGTCTGGAATCGGTCCTTCTCCACAATCTTCCTCGGGGTCTGGTCCCCTCTTCTGGTTGTGCAGCGTTTTCTGCCACACTTTTTCCTTCCCACAGACTTCCCACCGAGGTGCCTTGATACAGCACTCTGGGAACAGCCTATTCATTCAGGAATATCTTTCTGTGTCTTAGCCTCTTGCTTGAGGGTGTCAATGATGGCCTTCTGGACAGCAGTCAGGTTGGCAGTCTTACCCATGATTGCAGTTTTGAGTAATGAACCAGGCTGGGAGTTTTTAGAAGCCTCAGGAATCTTTTGCAAGTGTTTAGAGTTAATTAGTTGATCCAGATGATTAGGTTAATAGCTCGTTTAGAGAACCTTTTCATGATATGCTAATTTTTTTAGATGGGAATTTTGGGTTTTCATGAGCTGTACGCCAAAATCATCAATATTAGAAACAATAAAAGGCTTGAACTACTTCAGTTGTGTGTAATGAATCTAATATATATGAAAGTCTAATGTTTATCAGTACATTACAGACAATAATGAACTTTATCACAATATGCTAATTTTTTGAGAAGGACCTGTAAATGGATCATTGTAAGAGCAATATTCATTTCAACTTCATTGATTTAAGCACAGGTGATTCAAACATTTCATTTAAACATCTTGTTCATTCAACCATATGATTAATGAACTTATGAGTACAGTATTCCCCAGTACAGCAGTCCAGTTGGGACAGGACAACAGCATGCAGCACACACTCAAAGGCTTAATGCTGGAGAGCTGTTTCATATGACAAAAGCAGGACCTCACAAGCATACTGAGTTAAGTTTTATCCCCAAATGACTGATTTTTTCTTCTCATACGGGGCCAATGAGCCAACGCTCCACTTCCACAGTTGTCTTTTATTTGACAGACTTTGGTGCTTTGTCAGCCTTCAAGCTAGTGCAATATTAGCTGACGCAGCAAATCTTTCATTTTAATAAAAAATAATCAGTTAAAGTTCTCTACAAAACAATCGATTACTTAGTATTTAGCTGTCCCAAAGCTGCTTGGCCGACACTTCATTAGTTTTGAGGCCTCGTAGAGCACAAAGCTTCCTTCTTTTAAAAGTGTCTCCAGCATAAGTCCTACTCTGGTGTCACCAGTTTCTCACGGGGAATTTTAAATGAGCACTTTTAAACTTTGTTTCAGAGGGTAAGCTAGTCGAGGAAGTTATGACAGTATTTCTGTTGTGGCGACTGATGCGCGTGACACGCTTGTGCACGCTGGTGTCTGGGGCTCGCTCTTGTTGACTGACAGCTCACTCTGGCATTAAAGAAGCACTATTGGTCGACGCTGTAAGCTCACAGACACGATTCGTTCAGGTGCATGGCCAGGGGTGGGACTTAAGAGAAAAATAAAAAATGAAAGATTACTTACT